ATAATAATAATAATAATTGCATATAGCGCATATCCATGCTCAAGAGCTTGCTCTATGCGCTTTACAAATATTCTTTACAACTATATAGCAAGATAGACGCTGGATCTAACATCAATTACAACTGTGCAATCCAAGTTTTATTTCAATTCCAAAGCCCAAAGGTATACATGTAATTTCTAAGTTACATCTAACAGATACAGGCTCTCTGACTGCTGCTACGTGCTGAAATGTTTCCAGATAGGAAAACCTCACCCGCTACCTGTTCATTGGATGTTTTTGTGTCGATTAAGCTGTTCGCCAGTTCCTTGGTTTTGTCTTGTTTTTCTCAGTGACTGACATCAGTTCGTTGATTTTTGACGTCAGTAAGTCCGAGTCATGACGTCATGGCTGTCAGTTCTGTCGTCATCGTCTGTTGGATTTCCTCCAGTTTCTGTGTGCACGGCAGGTCATAAAATGGAAATCCACCGCCCTGGGCGCCACCAGGAAACAGAGCGGTCTGTGCCAACATCTCCCCGAGCCCAGACCACAGACCCCAGACTCCAGTCGCTCCATCCGGTCCTCCAGCAGTTCTGCTTTCTTCACCCTCGTCTGCACGTCCTGTAGCGTGAGCAGAACCTGGGCTGGAATAGGAGGGTCACTTATGTAGTCATGGTCGCAGACTTAGTGGACATACAGAGAGATAGAGTGGACAGACACAGAGATAGAGTGGACAGACAGACAGAGAAATAGAGTGGACAGACTGACAGAGAGATAGAGTGGTCAGACAGAGAGATAGAGTGGACAGACAGACAGAGAGTGGACAGACTGAGAGACAGAGAGATAGAGTGGACAGATAGACAGAGAGTGGACAGGCTGAGAGACAGAGAGATAGAGTGGACAGACTGAGAGATAGAGTGAAGAAACAGAGAGATAGAGTGAACAGAGAGATAGAGTGGACAAACAGAGATAGAGTGGACAGACAGAGAGATAGAGTGGAAAGACAGAGAGAAAGAGTGAAAAGACAGGGAAATGGGGTTGACAGAGAGAGAGAGAGAGAGAGAGAGAGAGAGAGAGAGAGAGAGAGAGAGAGA